CCGTCAGCCTTTCGCTACAGTGCCACGTCCAAACTGGTTAAAACGGCAGTTATTGGCTTTACGTTTGCTTCGTTTATACGTGTTTTAATATTCCAATAATGTCGAACTCGCCAAGTGATAAAAAAAGACCTTTCGCTGATAAAGTACGCAAAAATATTTATTTTTACTTATATCTACCTGTTTATTTATATGTTTACGACGAACACGCCTATGACTAGCCGACGAAAACCCCGAACTTTACTTATAAATGTTTAAAAACCTTTAAATAACAGATTCTTTAAAAACTTTCTCTGAACATGTACCACAAGTAAGCATCTTTAAATAAAAGATTAACAAAACCTACAATAAAATATGTTTTATTTTTTTTTTTCTTCAAAAACGGTGCATCTTACGAAAAAAATTGAAGAGACCAATTTCATTCAGAATTGATGGCGGATTTCTAAAAACAATATCAAAATGGGAAAAGTCAGTAGCGTACCATTTTTTTTTATTAAAAAAGTATGTGGCATTCTCGCACGAACGCCACTGGTGCAAGCAGAATTAGTCGGATCACCCCAAAAAAATGCACATTTATCCTTCCAAAGCGTTCTTCAAATTTCGAGTCAATATCTTTAAAACTCTTTGAAATAATTAATAAAAATAAATAAAAAATAAAAATTTTTAAACTCTCTCGGAAACAAAGCAAAACAAAATAACTTCAGCAACCACCCCTTAAACTATTTCGCACTTATTTACAAACACCCTGTATGTTACTATCAATACTATAATTAAATTTATGGATAGGTAACTTTCTGGAAAAACTTTAGGTTGTGTATTTCGATGGGTTAAGATGTAATTTATTTTCTACACACCAAGATTGTAAGATAATCATCAAAGTTTTATAAAAATATTTTTAATTCATCTGAATACAGTAATGTACGACAACAGATTACTTCGTTAAGATCATTAATGAGCAAAACAAACAGTAAAGGGCCAAGTGTAGAACCCTGAGGTATTCTAGAGGTTGCTAAGTAAGTGGTGGAATCAAAAAACCGTTGTAACTAACATACTGCATTCTGTTGTGTAACTAGGACTTAATAAAATCAATAAAATCATTACAGAAACCAAAGTTTACCAGTTTATAAAGTAGAACCTTGTGTTCTATCCTATCGAGGGCCCTCGAAAAGTCTGTATAAATCACGTCCATCTGTCCTCTATTATCTAAAACTACGATTTATCACCAAGTTTACCATTATTAGATTCGTAGAACATCCAGCGAATTATATCCTATGATCTAAAAATGTGAATCGCAATAGACTTTACATATTATCTGTAATTTTTTACCGTCCATTATCTTACCAGCAATGAACGTTAACTTGTTCCCATTCAGATCGATAACTTTGTTCATATTTTCTTGTCATTTTAAAGTAATATAAAATAATACACTTTGTATCGACCGAAGAAAATACCGGAAAGAGCTACCAGCTATTTTTCATTCACCAACAAAATATAAATAATTTACTCGGCAATGGCATCAAAATTCGAAATTGGCACGACATTGTTCTACGAACAAACGGCTATGCAGTGTTGCCAACTAGTAAATATCATTAAAAAAAAGTTATAAGTAGAGCATTTTCTATAATCTCCAAACTGAAGTCCACCGAAAAATTTCGTATAACCTAAATGTGACGCAGAAGTGTTAAAATCAACCAAGAAATAGAAATTAACTAAATGTAGAGCGAGCCGAGTACGACTCTGTTAAGAGCCGCCCCTTCCGAACTCTAGATCAGTTCGGCAACCAGCAACGCACGCGGTTATATGAATAAACGGTTGAAAAATTACCTCCATAAAGATTCGTAGTTAAATAAAAGACAAATGATAAATTTGTATTGTGAAATATACACGCAGTTAAAATGTATGTACAAATATAACACTTACCTTGTATAATACATTCATAAAAAATTCTTGGCGTTAAAAGCCGCAAAAGTATCTTATATTTGCCATATAAGTACACCTGTCAAACGTAACGTGTTGGGTGAATTTTCAATCAGACTTTTCAAATGAAATGGAACGGTTGAGTTTCTCTCCAAACTGAAAAAAGCGAGACGGCATCATCCATTATCTGTTTCTTTCCTACACTATCCGCATAGATAGCAAATTTGTAACCTCCGTATTTGCCTAAAAGGATGAACTAGATGGTAAAAAAATTGTTAGAAATAGCAGGGTGGATAGAATAACAACGAGTCGTATAGGAACGTGATTGTAAGGAGGATAGACAGGAAGTAATGTCAGGAAACTCTTTTCCAACACGTCCTAAGCCGACTGGATATAAATTTGGTTATTCCATATGCTGTTTTATCATCTAAGTGATAAAATAGCGTTGATGTAAATTCGAAGCTGTAAAAAGTTTATATCTTCTTTTGAATTGTGATATAAACCTGCTCTGTCACGTTTGACGACGAAGGATATTTATTCATGGGGAGAAATGTGGAAACTTTAATTTAGAATTAGGTATTTACATAACAATAAAAATTGTAATAAGTTTGCTAAACAAACATGAGGTATTTGTTAAATTCTGCCGTAATTTTAAAGTTGATATTGTAGTGGGCAAATACCTCTATTTATTTTGGTGAGAATTTACCACTTAAAATCATTATTCTTTAGGGACATATTGAATTATTCCTATAAAATTTTGGTTCACCTCCTTGGTTACTCTTCAAATTACATTTGTGGAAAATAACAAAACATATGCCCTTTTGTTTACAAGGTAATTATTAAATACCAATTTTCACGACTCTAATACCTTCATGCCTCTTGAAAAACTCCCCCCTCTCCGTTACCACCACACATTAGATTTTTGAAAATGGTGAAACGTGTGTCTTTTTATTTTTCAAGATAAGGTCTAAAAAGCAATTTTCATGATCGAACACCTCCTAAGATATAGGAGTTTAATAACAAACTTTGATCCCTTTTTACACTCCTATAAGCAGGGTTTTCATCATCAATATTTACTGGCATTACCTACATTGAGACAAAATCAGAAAATCCTTGTATGGCATCAATGGTCTCAGTTCTTGAATTCATATATTCATTATTTATTGATATGCTCTGTCATAGGCGAAGTTGTCCAAAATTTTTGTTTGTGGATTATGAAAACAATGTACCCTCTAAAATTCTCCTCAGTGGATTATTTTGAGCTCTGTATTGATGAATGTGTTAATCAATACACTTTGTTTTATATAGATGGTGATTCAAAACTTAACCAAAAAAAATGACGGAATGTTCAATGTATCCATACAAATATCGCAGTGTAGAAGATTTCAAAATGGACACTTCGGAAATTATTTTAAAATATTTATCTACACCCAACTGGAATTTAGTTGACTGTAATAAAGTTTAAGCACGAAAAAATGAAAAGAAAATGATATAATAAAACATAATTTCACTATGCGCGCGCTTCAAAACGTGTGCTAAACTTATTATTAAACAAATAGTGAAAAAAATTGGAAAAAATTCCATTTTTTTCTTTTTTCAACACAGTTCAAAAACTATTCATTTTAGAGAAAAATTGAAGACGAAAAAATATTCGTAATGAAATTTTACACATGATATACCTATTTTCAAATAAAAAATACAATATAATTATTGCAAATATAGCAAAAACAACAAAAAAAAGTGAAAAAAATTACAATATTTTTGCGATTTTTTTAAAAGTACTTATATTATAGGTAGGATCTTCATACTTAGCCAAAAAAATCTTTTTGATATAATAAAACATCACACCAATTTTCATTAAAATCGGTCCTATAGTAGTTATAGTTATAGTTCGAGTAATAGTTTTGCAATCCAGATTTTTGAAAAAAAATTGAAATTTTTGCAAATTTAACTGAGCCTAAATTAAGACTTCTAGATACTTGAAAATTTTATCACATAAAAAAAAGCACTCGAATTTTAAAATGCGCCCAGAAAAATTGAAATACGTTAATTAGGAGAGCCGTGGTAATTGTTTAAAAATATGCGTAATTTTTGCGCTTATAAACAAATAGAATAACTTTATAAATTCATTATAATAATTTTTTAAATTATGCTTTTAAAGTACTCGGAAAGATGCTCCTTTAAAAAAAAACTTGGTGATTCGTTGATTGGTTCCAGAGTTATAGTCGATCAAAGTTGACCGGCATTTGTGGCGTAACTACGAGGTCTGGAGGGCTGTTTTTTAAACAAATACCTTTGTCATTCCGAGTACTTTCCGGGAGTGAATTTGCAAAACTTGCGCCCTCGTCCAACCCAGATAAAATGTCGGTTAAAACCATTGGACCGAGAATGAAATTCACGAAAAATGTATGGGAAGTAGTGGTGGGGGGTCGAGAGCTCGGCTACTCCGGCCGACTCGAAATTGAAATCGCGCGTTCAAAATAGCTGCCCGCTTAAAAATTTTAATTATCTTGAAAAACGTTCTGCATACAATTAAAAAATAATTATAATTTAAATAATGGAAACAACATTAAACAATTAACTATTTATTATTATTTATATTAAAATGGAAAGTTGCATTGCAAAATTGGGCTCGTTTTATTTATGAAACGTCGTCCTTGCTCATATCCCATCATATTTGTTGCAGCAACCGTAAAACAAGTAATAGAACAGGTAACTTCAACTGTTGTAATATAAGCAATAGTTGAGACAACGTCATCATTGTTGTTCAAAATTTCTTCTCAATTTTGATTTTCTGTTAAAGAGAATATTCGTCATATTCATATTTTGTTGCTTTTCCAACATCGAAAACTAACATTTCTTGCTATAAATTTATTTAGATTTTGGCGGAAGTAATTCCACTAGCAATGCTATTTATTATAATCACGTGAGAATTTGCCACACTTGCTCAAGAATTCGTTTTTCATATGTCTCATTTATTGTAATATTATTATAACTTATTTCGTGATACTATTCTATTTTTAATAACATGTATACCTAACCTTTATTTCTATTTTTCTGTTAAAATATGTATCCCTCTTTTGCAGCGAGCGTGCACTCTGCTGCGACGCCACTGGGCTCCCTGCTAAGCGGGGTGCTGATGGACCGTTGCGGTAGAAAATTAGCCCTACAGATCGCCTCCATACCCCTAATAGTGGGTTGGATCCTTATAGGGCTATCGAGAAACCACGCCGTGCTCCTGCTAGGTCGGCTGATTGCAGGAATCTCGGCAGGACTCACCGCCGCTGCAGGCCAAGTGAGTATGCATTAAAAGGGCGTCATATTCTTTAAATAGTGTTTTCCACAAAAACAAATAATTTCAAACATTTAATAACTGAATAATATAAAGCTTATCAAATAATAGGAATGATATGTCATGACCATCAAGGTTTTAGGAACTAAAATCTACGAAAATACTAACTTTTTTATATACAATTCCACATGTAAATATTCTTATAGCATTTACTTGCTTAGTCCTACATATAAAATTGTTTACTTTTATTTATAAGTACGTGAAAATAATTCTTAAAATGTGGGGTTAGGATAACAGCAAACACATGTTTTAGTTATTATTTCATTTGAGTAAATTTAAATAGTAACAATGAACAACAGAACATCAAGGATTTTATTTTTGTGCTTACTTTTGTTCTACATGTTTTACTTTTCAAGATTTCAGTACCTAAAAACGCCAGAAATTTGACTATTTCTCAGTCAGGGATATGACCAGTTTAAATTAATTAAATTATCGCTCAGGAATTTCATTAACGTAATCCATGTTTTTAACTCAAATGTATCTGATGTGCTGAATGGAAATAACAGGATCTGATAACTCAGTGGTCCTCATGGCAAAATCTAAAGAAAATATGTGACTTTGATTCGGGAGTTTATTCATATTCAGTCTAGCTTTGACCTTTAGAAACTCAAATCATAAGTTTGTTTTCTCAAATTGCGTCGTTTCAACTTTTTTTGTAATTTTTCATATCCCGCCATTGAAAGAAATAGTGTAATACCCATTTCAAAAACGAAATTCCCACTATCCACGCCATTGTACAATAACCTTTACATTTCTGCCTCTGATCTGAAGCCTCGCATCGATCAATTTATTCGGTACGTATCTAGTGGCATCCTAATGCCTGCCCTGTCGGCCTGTCGTGTCGGTGAACATTCCGACACGTTAGCCGAGCATATCAATGTCGTTTGTGCGTGTATTCAGACATTAGGGTGCCGATACGTGTCGAATAAATTGATCGATGCGAAGCTTCAGATCAAAGACAGACATGTACAATAGTAAGAGTATACAGCGTTTATTGTAGAAAAATATACACTACTTACCCCTTTTTGATTCATACTGTTGTGCAAATACTTATACGGCGCCGTATAAGGGAAGTTCTTCACAATTAACTTCACTTGTACTTCGCCAAAGATTTAATTAAATCCCCGACATTATTACAGATATGTTATCATTTCACAAGCGTATTAGAACGCGCTGATAAAATGTTGCTCGTTAATTGGGGTCACCTTGTATACCCCTTCCCAGACAGTCGCAGACATAATGGGAACAATGCATTAATTAAACACTTGAGCACACATAAGCATATAGCTCACGATGCATAACCTCACCCTATAAAATACGCCGTTAGGTTTACCATAAATTGCGGTCGGATCGTCCTAATAAAACGAGATATAGTTTTACGAGCGTTTAATACACAAAGGGCGTTCCGTTGATTTATTTCCATCAGTTTTTATTTATCACTGGAAGATAAATGCTGCATTATCGGTGGTTATACTGTTCCATTTGCTTACAAACGAATTTTATTGGGCACGGAAATGGTACGCTTGTAAATATGATTCGATCGGATTTAACATGCTCTCACTTTGATTACCCTCTGAGGGTCCAGCTTATCCCTGGCCGATTTTGTACAAAAAAAATGGGGAAACGGAAATTGTTTTTTAATTTAATTGAATGTTGATTTGATGCTCCTCGCATTTTGAGCCCCCATGACAAGTACTACCATAAAAGTGAGGATAATTGCTGGCACAATACTGAGTTAGGGTGGCTTAAATTATAAAAAAACTTTTGAGTAATATTTTGCTGAAACTATTATTGAAATCAGATCTGATATATTTCAAGTAGTTTTTTAAATATAAAGGGAAAGCTCTTTTTTTGGGGATAAATTAGATCTAAGAATTCATACGACATGAAAGGTAACTTATAAAATAGGTTAGCATTGTTAACAGCATTGCTTGTCGGTTTAAGAACATTATCCACAAATCGCTATTTACTCTCCGCGTGACGTCATAACATAGTTGAGGGTATGCGCAATATCATATCTCTTAATCTTTGTATCACGGTAAAACCCGTTGAGGTATCTGTGCCGATATATTCGACGTGTTTCGGTTGCATTGCCGTAAACAAGGCCGTACCGTAAACAAAATGCTTTTCTGCCATTTCTAAATTTGTAAACATGTATTATAAACAAATAATAAAATTACAACAAAAGTGGTAATTAATTTACGAGACAACAAAAAGTTAAAACACCATAGTTGATTTTTTTCTTCCATTAAGGGTCAGTTTTGTGTTTTATGAGACAAATATAGATTCAACTGGGAGATAAATTATCAGGAGGCCTAAATGGCCTTAATACAGGAATCTTTTGTTGACGACTTTTTGTAGCCGTTTGTAATTTGTTCGAAAATGAATGTTTTTGACAAAATTTTCGTTTTGAAACTGAAACTGAAAGAAAAACTTGGAGAGTGAATCGAGTACGACACTGTTATGAGTCGCGTCTCATGAATTCCAATAACAATTTATTGATCACGTTATAAAATGTCTGCTCCTTGTAAAATTGGAGCGGGAAAATTTAGTAAAGCGATTGGTTCGACTGAAAAGCCATCAATACACAAACTTTACCAACTTTACGATTCATTTCAGGTACTAATAGGAGAAATTTCGGAGCCCCACTTACGAGGAATGTTCTCCAGTGTCCCCTTCGCAAGCTACTCGTTCGGCATTCTTCTGATATACGCCTTAGGTACCCTCTTACCTTGGAGATACGTGGCAGGTAAATTAGTTTTACGAAGAGTTGAAACATGCGTGTCGCAAAAGAAACTGTGAAACTCGCTGAAATTGCCGAAAGACTCGCAAGAAATGCTCGGATAGTGTTACACTGAGAAACGGAAACTGTTAAAGAAACAGTTTCCTTAGTGGTAACTTTTAGACTGTTGATCTATAAAAAAATATTTTAAATATTCTTTAAAGTTTGTATATAAAAAAATATATAATGTGTCCCAGGATTATGAGAAAATGTCAATTTTTTTAAATATCTGCTTGAAATTTTTATAAATATTGCTACTTCCTTAACTTTATGTACCAAGTGTTCAAATTTTTGAAAAATTAAAAAGTGGCCCCAAGCAAAGTGCATAAATATTTTAAAATATTGAAGATATTATTCTGTAAAATAATTACCTCGTTTCATATCAATCTTGGACACAATATGGTCCTATAATTAAGCTACAAATTAATTAACAAATAATTATTAATGGAAATCTATTTCAGAAATTAAATAAAAAATTAACACCCTGTATATAAAATTAAGAAAGTAGTAATACTTTTAAGAATTAAAGGATAAGCAGAAGAAAGAATGTCATTTTCTCATAATTTTGCACTGTATATTGAAAAATGTGCATTTAATTCAACTCGTTTTTTTCAGTTAATAACACAACCACACAAAAAAAGAAAAGTTGTCTGTACTTTTCATGCGACATATGTTATCTGTAGTATATTTGCCTCCTAATCACAAATCCGGTGTCAGAATTGATCTATTAAGTCACAGGAATTTCCTAACCTTAAAAAACAGGTAAAAAATAGCAAAAATTCATGAAAAAGTGATAGGAAAAATGCAAACATTTTTTTTTCTATATTCGAATATTCATTTATATAGTTAAGAGCCCGCCGAACGTGAATTACTGGTCAGAATTGATGGTTCTTTTTGTAACCTCAAAAAAAAAAACGGGTCAATGAAGGCTAAATATAACAAATGTTCAAAAAATAACAAATTCGCGTCAAATTTGGTATACGGGGGTTTTCGGGGTCGCTGATCACGGATGGACGACCAAATTTTCAAATAATAACAGACCCCGTAGTCAGCGACCCCGAAACCCCCGTATACCAAATTTGTTACGATTCTGTTATTTTTCGAAAATTTGGTCGGCCATCTTGGATCGGCCGTCTAGAATTTTGCAAAATTGACCTCGGATCCGTCATCAGCGACCCAGAAAACCCCCGTATAACAAATTTGACGCAAATCTGTTGAATATTTGAAAATTCGTGATATCTGACCTTAATTGAACCGTTTTTTTTTTAGGTTAAAAAAGAACCATTAATTCTGACGGATTCACGTTGGGCGGGGTCTTAACTATATAAATGTACATTTGAATATAAAAAAAAATTGTATTTTTCCTAGCACTTTTTCATGAATTTTTGCTATTTTTACCTGTTTTTTGAGGTTAGGATATTCCTGTGATGTGATAGATCAATTCTGACACCGGATTCGTGATCAGAATGCAAAAACATTACGGATAACATATGTCGCATGGAAAATACAGACAACTTTTCTTTTTTTGTGTGGCTGTGTTATTAAATTAACTGCATAATTAACTGACAAAATAATTTATAGTTCTGTTTGAATGATGATGCCGTAATTTCAACAACAATGAGACAAATCTAATTCTGCTAAATTTTACTTAAGTATCTTAAAGTGTCTTCGGTACCTAGTAAAGGAATAAATTTGCCAATTTTTTTTTTAAATAAAAAATAGGCATACTTTTTTCAAGAAGATTTTTGGTTTTAAAATTGCCAGCGATATAAATCGACTAAATTACCTAGAATTTCGGAAATTATTGCAATTCAAAAGAGTAGCAATCGCATCTGAAAGATAATATTATTTTTTTAAATACACAGGATGTAACACTACAACATGTCAATAATGACGAAGCACTTTTCTCGTCAAAAATTAAGAATGTTTTCTGATATAAAGATTTGTGTTTGAGATTTAAAATTTTTTGAGATACTGTATCTCTAAATATCTTTGCAGATATTGAAACAAAATTATATGTGGAGAATACATGCATACACTGTAAAAGAATTTCACTCAAATTTCACTCAATTTTACTCAATAATGTATCAATTTCTGTTCACAACCGATTGAGTATGAGTACAAATGAGTGAAACTATTGCATCAGAAATGCTCGAGTTTTTCTCAAATCTGAGTTACTGCTAACTATCAATTGAGTGACTTTTGACTATATTCTGAGTATATAAAACATAAAACTTATTTAGAGTTGACTTTTTCTCTAACATGATTTAAATTTAACTATTATTGAGTCATTTTTTACTCAGACTTGGTTTTTAATTAACTAAATATTGAGTGCAAATATAAATCACTCATAAATGATTAATTAGGATATACAGTGTTGAAATTAATTCACTTTGCGGGGCCTCCTCCTGTCCTGGCCGAGACACGCCGCCGCCGCCGCCGGCTAAGACTTGTTCTCCTGGCGATCACGCTTTTCTGGATCATCTAACGGGCCCCTATCAACTGTGATCAAGATTACAGAAGCAATATGTAAGTGGTGCCATCTTCACGGCGCCATTCAAATTACTCGAAATTCATATACATTTAAACTCACTCAGTAATGAGGACATTTTCTGATTTAGGTACAAGTGCACCAAATACGAATTTACGTGAAGAATTTATTTAAGCAGTTCTTATAATTGAGTGAAAGTACTCAGTTTTAGTTTAAATATAATCACAAAAGAGTGAAATGGTCAAAATACCCAATTCTGAGTGAAAATGTACTCAATAATTTCACTCAGTTCAGACTCGGAACCTTTATTGCTTTCACTCACACCGATTTTTTTACAGTGTATAATGGCGATCAATGTGAAAAAACCTATGGCGAACTTTATTTTGAACTAAAACTCTATAAATGTAGAATTTATGTTCTTCAATTCACATTTCAATATGTATAACTCACAAGCTCTATAACTTTTCTAAAAATTCTAGTATATTGATAAATTTGTACAGATATATTTTTTTTAACTTAAAGGGTGTGAAACAGAAAATATCCTTAAATTTAGACGCTCGTTCATTTCTGACTCGTTGTAATGTTACGGCCTGTATATGACGCATCCACAATTTACATTATTTTATCATTTTCAGGCTTGAGTATAATACTGCCACTAGCATCTATTTTAGCCTTTTTCTTTCTCCCCGAGAGTCCAGTTTGGTTAGTGAGACATGACAAAATCGAATGTGCCAAAAAGGCATTAACTTGGCTAAGAGGCGGAAATAGCTTGCAGGTAAATAATACAGTTATAATTTAACAAAAGTTATTAACGTTGCGTATGATAATTGTCAGTTTTAATTTAAAAAAAAAGTGGATATGAATGGTGTCCCAGTTTTGATTGTACAAGGAAAAAAAAACTAACATTTTATCACCTGGCAACTACTTTATTGTGATCGCAAGCTCTGTAGTAGTTCCACCTACACGAAATATTGGGACAATCTGTATTAAACAGAAACCTTGATATATTGTCAGAGAGATGAATCATTTAATTCAATTTATCTGACAATTTTTAGTTTATCCTTGGTAGCAATTTCCCTTTCATTTCAACTTTAACAAGGATTTATATCCTTTTAACGATAACCACAAGAAAATATAGAATCTTGATAATATTGACCTCCAAAGAAATATCGGTTTTAATAAAGGAAGATGTATCGTTTCAAAGATGAATTCATCCTTTTAATTAAATACTAATGCAATATACGGGAAAAAAATTACGTTCCTTTGACTGGAATAAAATTATTAAATTATTATTAATTGTTGGAACTACATACCCATTATTGGTTATTTATGTCAAATTGAAACTTTGCTCATTTATTTTACAGTGTGTATCAACGAATAACTTATTTTTCTTCAACTTCCGGTCTTTGAGATGTAACACAATATATTTTCTTCAAACGGAATATCTTATATAAAGAGTGAGTCACAAATGGTGACCAAAAATGAAACCTCTTATTCTTTGGTGAATTTTAAGGGGAGTTTTTCCTATAAAGTTTTTATCTAGGACGCTTCGTTAAAAAGATACAGGGTGTTAAAATTCAAAAAATATTTTTAATTTCGTTCGTGGAAATTGAGGTATTTTTGAGCATTTACCCAAATAAAATCATTGAAAGGACGACTAATATTACTCATTTCTTTATTCGAATAAAAATAACCGAATGATTAGTGCTTGTCATGTCATCAAATAAAATCATTGAAATGACGACTAATGTTACTAATTTCTTTATTCGAATAAATAACCGAATGATTAGTGCTTGTCATGTCACCAAATAAAATCATTGAAATGACGACTAATGTTACTCATTTCTTTATTCGAATAAAAATAACCGAATGATTAGTGCTTGTCATGTCAAGTAAAAGTGTTTTTAGTTGGTTTTTTAAGTTTTTCTCGAAAATCAGGCTTTTTTCGAAAAACATAAGAGAGTAGTAATTTGTAGAAAATTGAAAGACGAATCCGAAAATATCATGATTGTTACCGTAAAGCAGTGGCATACTATTTTATTTAGAAAAATATACCAAGTTTAACGAAGTTTTTAACGAAGCATCCTAGATAAAAACTTTGTAGGAAAGAGAAAGAATACGAGGTTTCAATTTTGGTCACCATTTGTGAATCACCCTGTATTTTTCAATTTTTGAAATCTGCTTAAATTTTCTTTCAAATAATGGAAAAACCCTTGTAAAAGAGTTATTTATGGACCGATTCAATTCGTTTCTTTTTTTTTGAAGATGGAAAGTAAAAAAATATATTACATCATAATATGAATTAATTTTCAGTTATCAAAACCAATTTTTTGTTTTTATGTGTTAGATTACAATCTAACATTGACAACTTATACAGGATATCCCAGCGAAAACAAAACAGAGCGAATAAATCACTGGCAAATTATTTTTTCAAAAATTGCTGGATTTGTCTGACTTGCTGACATCCATTTATGATTCGTTGTCTTAAATCTGCTTCATTTTCTGCTGGTGTGTCATTTTTTTTAAACCTATTAGAAATTATTTTAAAATTAAATATGAACAAAAAAAATATAGGTAACTCGAAAATGATTTATTGTGTGAAGAAAATACAAGAGATCTCTTTTATTAAAAATATGACAGAAAATTAAACGCGCTATTGAATTTTTCTGAAAATCCAGTGGCGTAGTGTTCCCGAAGGTTTTAATGACAAAGCTCCCTTGAATCTCCGCCACTGTTTGACATATTTATATAGAAATATACCGAATTATTACCTTTAATTAGTTACGTCATTTCCCCAAGTTTCGTCAATCTACAACAAACAACTTCAGAGATAATGGAAAAATAGTGATATTTTTCAAAAACTTTAACGTCTTGGAAACCAGTAACTTGGTTTATTAAAACTATTGGGTCTAAAATGACCCAAAAAATCACCCCCATAATTTATACATAGACTTAGTTCACACCCTGTATTCAGGGTGTAAGAAGTTTGACTGCCATTACTTCAGCATGAGATGGAGTAATCATAAATGAACAAAAAATTGTATATTACAGGGGCGTAAGATTAATAGTCTTCAAAATACAGCGAGTATTAATATTGGGGAGTTTCATCACAACGTGACAACAGCGCTTAACATGCTGGGGCACACCACGTGTGCACGCGGCAGACTTGTCCTACGGAAAAAATGTAAACAACTATTATTGTGAATCATTTAGTAAATTTCAAGACAATTGTTTTCCAGTTTTTAAATAAATAAAATAAAATGTGTCGATTTTGTAGTACGAAAATAGTGTTGTGCTTAAATTTTAGCTCGAATTTTAGTAATTATGAATCTCTTAAAACAGAAACTTAACTTTTAATCAAATTATGTATTTGAAAAATATGTGATTAAAGTACCCAAAGATTCACGTCGTCCAAATAATCATATTTTAGGTACTTACCAAAAAGCAAAATTCAGTAATTTTTAAGCGCACAAGTACAAAACAAACTACAACATATGCTCAAAATGTCTACCACCATTTTTGATACACGAACGACACCTTCGAATCCAATTTTAGCGCACTCGCTGGAAAACATATCAAGAAAAGGAAATAGTGGTACGCAAAAAAACACTCCGACACGATCGAATCCAGATACCAACAGAATTGCGTATTGGTGATTACTGGACACCTTAGTACCTCGTGTTAATGAACCGCCGCGCTCTTGTCACATTGCTCGATATGAATTTTATCGAATTTTAAATTTATTACAAGGCTAATTATTTTTTAGAATTAAACGTAAATAAGTTCAAAAAAGTGATAAACATTGTATTTTATGTTATGCAGTTATGTCAATATTCCTTAATTAATTGAACTTTTGTACATCAAGTTGGATATTTTGATAATTTTTTTCTTGGAAATGGTTGAGTTTAGGACCCATGTCATATAAGGTTTATTTGTTTATTTTAATGTATTCTATCGTTAAAATAAAGGCAGTCAAACTTTTAACACCCTGTAGTTGGTGTTCAAATCTACTTTTAACTGTAACCAAATGTAAAATGATGTCCTACAATCGACGCAAAACTTTTATAGCTTTTGATTATAACATTGGTGAAATTCTTTCTGATTTGAGGATATACATTTTTGACTAGCTCTGCAAAATGATATCTGCCTAGAAAATAAGAATTTAACAAGAAGGAGATTAGACCGATCAAAATAACTCATTTAGAGTGAAAAAAAAGAAAATTGTTACCTGGACTTTTATAAGTGGAAATGGTAAAGGGACTTATAATAAACCTAAAAAAAATAAATGCGTGAGCAGGGGCGACGGAGGGTTGATTTGGGGGGTTGAAAAGTTATGAAAAATTGTAGCATTGGGATTTCTGGCGAAAGTTGACGTCAAACAAAATAGTATCCAATACAAAAGTTGTAGATCATGCAAAAATCTACAATTTTTGTAACAATCACTTTTTAACATAACCTCAAAATTTCCGGGAAAAATGCGAAAAACGGGTTCTTTTCTGATATTTCGTTTTTTATTTCTCATTTCCGCAAAAATAATTTAATTTTGACGAAACTTGGTGAAAGTATATCTTTATCTGTCTTAAATAACCACAAATTTTTTTAGATAAAAAAATCAAGAAGTTTCTGAGATATTCATTTTTTTCGGCCTGAAACACTTTTTTTTCAAAGAAAAATTCTACTTAAAAAAATCATCGTACAGAGTTCTGCCGGTAATCATTTTTTTCGTTTTGACATATACTTTTTGGTGAAATAAAAAAATTTGTAATCACAGTTCAAAAACATGCTCAAAAATGCAAAATAGTAAAAAATAACTTACAGCAATGAATTTTTCAGTAATTGTTGATAATTTGTTTAAATTTAAAAAAAAAATCAAAAACTGACTACACCATTCAATTGTACGGAAAAAATACAAAAAAAACTGTCTCATTGTTTGACCCAAAACTATTTTTGTACAGTATTCTATAAACATAGTGAGGTCGAATAGTGAATAAATAAAATAAATAATAATTTTTTTTCTATTTTTTTTAAATTTTGATGAATTCATAGGTATACAGTGTGTCCAAGATAAGGATGGGATAGCATTAGGATCTAGGAAACAGTAAGAGATACGGGGTGGCTTAGATTAGAAAAAAGTTGCAGTTTTTTATACCTAACAATATGCTGTTTAGAAAGTTTTAAAATTCCGGGTAGTTCCGGAGATATCCGGAAAAACCGAAATTTTGCAAAATTGTTTCATTTTTTTCTGGCTTTATTTGAAAACGAATTTTAAAATAAATTACATATTTACAATGCTACTTTTTTGAACTTCTTGATTTTTTATCTAAAAAAATGAGGTTATTTAAGACAGAGAAAGGTATACTTTGACCAAGTTTCGTCAAAATTAAATTATTTTTGCGGAAATGAGAAATAAAAAACGAAATATCAGAAAAGAACCTGTTTTCGCATTTTCGCGGAAATTTTGAGGTTATCTTAAAAAGTGACTTCTACAAAAGTTGTAGATTTTTGCATGATCTACAACTTTTGTATTGAATACTTTTTTGTTTGACGTCAACTTTAGCAATAAATCCTAATGCTGCAATTTTTCATAACTTTTCAACCTCCCAAATCAGCCCTCCGCCGCCCCTGCTCACGCATTTATTTTTTTTAGGTTTATTATAAGCCCTTTTACCATTTCCACTTATAAAAGTCCAGGTAACAATTTTTTTTCTCCAACTGTAATTTGGTTGGACTAGATGTGGTTTTCGCTATTCAACGTTTCTCTAAAGTCATGACATCTAAACTTTTTTTCTATTTCGGGAAACCTCTCATTAATGGCAATATTTTTGCAGGCAAAGATGGAGACTGAGGCGCTGATCCATCGTGTAGATCTAGACAACCAGCAACACAAAAAAACGTCGCTGCACACGCTGTTCCAACCGGAAGTAATCAAACCCTTCATCATAATAAACGTGTTCAACGTCATGCAGATCCTGTCTGGCACGTACATCATAGTATTCTACGCCGTAGACATCCTAAGCCACATCCAAGGGGGCGAAGGCCTAGATCACTTCCTCGTGGCGGTCCTAACGGCCTGCGTTCGATTTATTTTCTCCATAATCGCCAGCATCCTACTGGTCCTGATCGGCCGTAGAACCCTCGCCATGCTCTCGGGACTGGGAACTAGCATATCAGCCCTTTGTTTAGGAACGATCCTGCAGCAGAATTGCCACGGAGAGGGCTACTTGGCCGCCGTATTCGTGTTAATATACGTGGCCACCAACACGGTGGGTTTTATGATACTGCCGGGGGTGATGCTGGGGGAGTTGTTCCCCGCGAAAATAAGGGGATTAGCGGGTGGACTCACGTTCATGCTGTTCAATCTTGTTTTATTCGGCTTCGCCAAGATTTTCCCCTTCGTTAAGGGGGCGGTGGGGGTGTCCGGGGTGTTCTGGATCTTCGGCGGGGCGTCGGTGATGGCCAGTGTGTTTCTTTATTTGACTTTGCCCGAGACAAAGACGAAGACGTTGAGTCAGATCGAAGATTATTTCGCGCAGAGCAGTTTCTTTTGGATTAGGAGGGACAGGGGTTGGGAGAGGAAGATGCAACACGATGAGACTGAGAAGATGTCGCTGAAGGTTTAAGTGATCACTTCTTTAATTAGGTTTAGCTAATTTATGTTGAATACAGTGCCTACTATATTTTTTGCTCATATACGTGATTTTTTTTACTTGTGTATTTTGATGAATGTCGACCTCTTAGTATTAAGTATTATTTTGTAAGAGTGCAAGGAATGATAAAAGACTAAAATTGTATCTAGCTACAAAATTAGTAAGTCTACTTCCGTTTTGGTTGATGACTAAATAGATTAAGTAATTTATTTTGTTTATATCATAATTTTTAATAAATATTAAACTCTATATTTAGTTGTTTTCATGAACATTATAATTAACAAAAAACATAATTAGAAAAATAGACAACAAAAGGACCCCGCACTTTTCTTATGTAAAAGTGGTTTCAGTTAAATTGGCTGAAATTTTTATATGTTACAGCTCTTAACCTGTCGATCAAAAGTCTCCATTGGCACAATATCCTAAAGTTCATAGTTTTCGAGTTACGTTGACTTTAGATCAATAACTCTGTATTCGAAGGAGTAAAAATTTTATTTGATATTTTTTGTTGTTTGCGCCAAGGTGTACCACATGGAGGTTGTAAAATCGGGCCAACGCCTCTTTGGGGTGACTTTTTACCGAGTGCCCCTTACTCTCTAATCTTAGTATGTCTAGATGCATGTATTTTATTTTCATGAATGCAATATCATCAATTTCTATGTTATTATATCTGTTGAGACTATCATTAATATAGTTTAATATGGCGTCACTGGGGTAATGTATATTTTGTTGATATCGAGCAAAACCCAAATACCACAACACGCTGGCTACGTGAGCACAACAACCTATTATTCTTGCACCAGTTTTACAAGTGCAATAATATCCGAGAATGGGCTCCTCGTTTTCATCTAGTTCAGTCGCATAAGATACCCACAGCTGATGTTTCACTGCATTCCGGAAACGTGAGTAAATTCTGATCCGTAGAAAACCTGGTTCTAGAACATGTTCGTCGAATTGAAATACTTCTGTTCCTTCTATATCAAGCTTATCTTGAATGTAAGATGGAGCTAAACCGACCTGGTATACACCAATGGTTATCCTATGCAAATAATTGAGGTCAAATCTAGGAAATTCTCTAGCATGATTTTCATTAAGTTGGTTCCATATAGCATTTCTTCTAAAGAGATTTTCGACTTCAACTCGAGTTTGAACTACGTTCACATCATTAATTCTTTGACGCAATTCTCTTGCTAATGGAACAGTAGCATCCTGCATTATTAACAATTCATAAAATCTATTAATTATTGCGCCAGCTATTTTGTAAAAATCTGCGAGATGGAGCATATGAGCTGTCGGAATAATACCAGAAAAGAAACTAAAAATTGATTTAATGTGCCCATTACGCGCCTCTACGACCCACCTAGACTTCGTAACAATTCGCATTTCATTGGCACTTATACCCATAATATCATAAAACAACTACAGTTTTTCAGTGTGAAGTCACATTACCAATATTAATATAACTACAATGATTTATTATTTTTTCGGTTATCATGGAGAAAAATGACATATAGTACTTATATATGTGCTAACATGAAAATCATTTAAGGTTCAAACCCAAACTGCGAGTAGTTCTTTGTACTGTAGATATCCGTTACAACTAACCTAGTTGATGGCATAAAAACTTATTGGATTTCTATAAATTGTAATAAAAAATTAAATATTTTATTAATTATTCTTTTATGCATATTATCTGTCGCATATTAATGCAAACATTGATCAAATCAATATTTAGAGCCATGTTCACACGTACAAATAGTTTTTGAGCCACGGCAAAAAATATCAAATAACATTTTTACCCCTTCGAATACAGAGCAATTGCAATATTAAACTATATTAATGATAGTCTCAACAGATATAATAACACAGAAATTGATGATATTGGATCCATGAAAATAAAGTACATGCATCTAGACGTACTAAGATTAGTGAGAGGCAAGGGGAACTCACTTTAAAAAAGACTCTCCGATGGTGGGAGGCAAGGGGACCTTACGGTAAAAAAGCCACCACAAAGAGGTGTTGGACCGATTTTGCAACCTCCACGTGGTACACCTGGGATAATGCAAACGCAAACAACAAAAAATATCAAATAAAATTTTTACCCCTTCGAATACAGAGTTATTGCTCTAAAGTCAACGTAACTCGAAAACTATGGACTTTAGGATATTGTGCCAATGGAGACTTTTGATCGAAAGGTTAAGAGCTGTAACATATAAAAATTTCAGCCAATTTAACTGAAACCACTTTTACATAAGAAAAGTGCGGGGTCCTTTGCTGTAAACGTATTAATTTATTTAAAAAACATACTCGTATTCTAATATTAGCTCTCGCATTTTTTACTCTATCTTAAGGTATTAAAATAATTCAAATTCAAAATATTTTTCTAAAAAAATTTATTGATTCAGCAGGGGAGCAGGGGTGTGCACGGTCCACCACAGAAAACGCAATGCCCACCCCAGAAAAAAAAGATTCAATAATATTATTTTTCTCATATCGAAGTCTCTGCCTGCGCCACCTTTTTTTAAGTATCAAATGAAAGAGTGCTTAGTATTTGAAATATCTCCTAACTGATGATGTTACGGCAAAAGCTACTTTATGGGCTATATTCCCCTATAGTCCAGGAAATATACCGGGTGATTCAGTTTGATATTCGCGGCTTTGTATCTCTTTTATTTTAACAAATACCTATAACAAACCCTATATATTTTTAAATCGCCGCTCAAACTCTATCAAATGACATTATCAGATCGTCTCCATGGTAACATGTGTCAAAATTGCTATAGTCAATTGTTTTTCTTCAAATGGCGCACTATATATTTTTTTTATCAATTCTGGAAGATATTTTTTTTCTGCGTTCATCTATATAAGGAAGTCTATAGTTTCATTAGAAATATTGCTAGAAAAACATCAAAAAAGATGAACCCTACTTTCATTAGCGTTATTCTGAAAAATTATAGCCAGCTGCGGAAACAACTGAATTTTAACGTTTCTAAATATCGGTTTGTCAAAATAATTGACATTTTGTACTTACCTATTATATCTATAACTAATAATTATAACATGAATACTTACAGTAACCAAGAAAAGCTAGATATGATTTTAATTTATGGAAAAGGCTGAAAGAACGCTAAAGCTGTCAGGTATTTATAGGTGCCAACATCGTTTCCCGCAGAGACAACTTCCATCAGAAAAATTTTTCAAAAAGTTAGCCAGAAATTTGGCGGCAGATGGAAGTTCTCAAAAGAAAAGAAGAGTTTTTAAACTCAGAAGGGCAAGAGATGAAGAACATTCCATAAAGATTTTAAATGACCTGCTAGATCTCCGGGTCTCACCCCTACAGATTTCTTTCTTTGGTCTTACCTAAATGATATTTATCTTAAAAACATAATAAGAGTAGAATGTCGGAGATTAAATGAAGAAACAGTAGAATGTGTTTGTAGAGAGGGACAGAGCTATTCTGTGTTTGGAAGCAAATGGAGGTCATTTTGAACATTTGAAATAAGCATTGTTTTAAACTGTTATATTATTATCGTGTTAAAATTAAAATATGTTACTTTAAAAAACATAATAACTTGTTTCCGCAGCTGGTTATCATTTTTTAGAATAAAGTTACGAAAAGCAGGGTTCATATTCTTTGCTGTTTTTCTAGCAATATTTCTAATGAAACTATAGACTTCCTTACATAGCTCAACGCAGAAAAGAATATCTTGCAGAATTGATAAAAAAATATATAGTGTGCCATTTGAATAAAAACAGTTGACTGTAGCAACTTTGACATATGTTACCATGGAGACGATCTAATAATGTCATTTGATAGAGTTCGAACGGCGATTTAAAAATATATAGGGTTTGTTATAGGTATTTGTTAAAATAAAAGAGATACAAGGCCGCGAATACCAAACTGAATCACTCGGTAGAGTTGAACGCGACTTTTTGTTTCGCCAAGCTGAATTTATCACTATAGATGCTAAATATTATGTACAATAACATATTAGTTTCCACAGTCATAAAAATGAGGGGAAGATTGTTTACAGGGTGGTTAATTGTACAATTTTTACGTAAATTCACGTTTTTCGCTTATAACTTTTTTAACAGTAAAGAATTTTTTTCGTCTTTAAAAGACCTACAAAACTAAAAAATTTATAAATAGAAGAAGTTTATTTATGCCTTTTGAATTAAACATTTATAAACTGCGTTATTATTACCAGAACGTTTTGACATCGCATTCTCTCATTCCTTATCACTGTCTAATAATTCCCACGAAGTCTGGAATCGGTAAGTTGAATAGTTTACAAGTTATGGCCTTATAAACAAATTAACTAATTATTAGTTTGGACGATCCCGAGGATCTTCCACAATCGCACTGATTTTTTTCATGGAAGATTTCATAATAATACATTGAAATCTATCATTTTTTTTTTAATTTCAAATTTGCAACCTGGAATTTTTTTTATTTTTTAGCCTTAGTTGCAAAATTAAATATATGACGCACGAGCGTGATATAGTTATATATTATTGCATATTCGGAAAGCTTATGAAAAGAGCTTTAAGTTAAAAAAAAATCGTCAACATTAGTTGAAAAACAACGGAGTTACAGATTGTCAAATATATGAATTTCCTTTATTTAACGGCAGGACTATGAATATTATCGTCATTTTCTTCGGACTCGCTGTCGTTCGTTTCCCCCACCCTTCCGCCGCGCCACGGCTCGCCGAAAATCAAGCGAGCCACTAACTTTTGACAATATTTCTTATGCACTTAACATACTTCCACAAATAAAAAATTTTTACCTGGGAAAGTACTCGGGTTGCCGGTTATGACAGTATTTTTTTTTGCTGCTAACAACCTAATTTGTTTAACAATCGGCCTTCAACTTTGACAGTCTAAATTACACCAGCAATATCTAGTAAACAACTAGTTATAAATAATTATTCAAAATACAAACTAAAAATGATATGACTAAATGTAATCGACAATAAACAATTTTAAGTGAGGCAAATTCATCTCCAAAATGCTTATAGTTTTGTCTTTTCGTCCTGAAAAATTCACTAAGTATTGGGAGAGTCCTATATGCAAAAAAAATTATTCAAATCGCACAGTCCAGGCAAATGTTACAGCACTGTTCTAAGTCAAACTTGAACACACTATGCACATACATATAAAGTATAATAATTACTTATTACCTATTTCTGGTAGATTTAATGTGGGAACTGCATTTTTTGCTAATTTGCGGACTACGTTTTTGTTGGAAATTAAAAAATGTTCTTCAAAGTGATTAGAACATATTATACGTGAAAATTTTGATGGTATCCAATCCTGTTATTTAAAAGCTTTCATCTATCTTTACTTTAGTCAACATCCTTTGGAAATCTATAAAAATTAAAATATTAAATTCGCAAAATCGAAGCAAATATAAAAATTTGGTAATTATTTATTTTACCATAAAATCAAATTTTGACAACCCCCCTTTTCCAAGGTGCTGAACATGAATTTGAAATTATCACATTAGTTTTCAGCTCGTTCAAAATTACGGGAATTAGAAAAATTTCATATAAATTAGAGACTTTTATGTTACAATCATTTATTCATTATTTTATTAACAATTTATAATAATATCACGCTTACCATTACACTACGTGTGCGAACAAAATTATAAAGTCAATACTGGAATACTCTGACCTTAACCAAGAAATTGCGTATATAATGGGTCAAATTTACTTTTTATATATTGCTTATTTTTCTTATCTAGAGAAGGAAACTTTTCGGCTCTCTTCACCAACTTGTTCACTTCTATTTATACAATGTCCTAAAATACATTTGCCCATGAAAAAATAACTAATTATTGAAATCAAAGCGACACGTACAATACAACTCAAGTTTCCAGATACGACTGATGCTGGGCTACCGACTAGGCTCCCAACTCCCTTCATCATAACTCAGTTTAATTGACGGCCTGCCAACGTCAAAACTTGCTGGTAAGCGGCACCCCTTACTTTGACTTATTCGATAACGTAGCTTATAAAGTCAATGGTAACTTGTACATAAATCAAGGTTTCCAATCAAATTCTAAATACCTACTCTTTACTGTCATTTATCACTATATAGTAACCGTCAAATTCGCTGTCACTGTCATTTAAAAATTTAATACCTACTTAAAAGTCGTTTATCAACAAAATAAAGAAACGCATTAAAAATGGCTTGTCAGAAGAAAACCGTCCCTTCCGGTAAGTACATCAAATCCGTATTCGCAAGGAGCATTTTCGATTCTAGAGGGAACCCAACGGTTGAGGTGGATCTCATCACGGATCTGGGACTGTTCAGGGCTGCCGTACCCTCTGGTGCTAGTACAGGTAAAAAATTTAAAACATAAATAGGCACCTAACTTTACAAAGCTTTTTAAGTTAATCCAAACAAGTGGAAAAGCGTTTTTTTTTTTTGTTTGGTAGACTATTTTCAAAATTCTGTTGTACTAAACTTACATAAAACCACGAAAGGCTTAGACTTACAGGAGTGTAATGTTCCTGTTTCATCAATTTGTAAGTCTTTAATTTGGTATGCTTAAAATATGGGTTTATTGCTATTTTCAATTATGTAGGTAAGTCAAAACTAAACAGTTCTTTGAAAATTTCCTACTATTTTTCAGTGGTATCTATATCGTACAACAAAATTTCATGCGAATGCTATTTCTGCTATTTAGCAAAAATACATTCTGAACCAGCCTTAAATCTAATTCATCCATTCGCCATTTAAGGGGTGCACGAAGCCTTAGAACTACGAGACGACATACAGTCGGAATACCTGGGTAAGGGTGTGTCCAAAGCCGTAGACAACGTGAACAACGCCATCGGTCCCGAGCTGATCAAGCAAGACTTCGACGTGACGCAACAGGAGAAGATCGACCAGTTCATGATTGATCTAGATGGCACGGAAAACAAGTCAAAATTCGGAGCCAACGCGATCCTTGGCATCTCCCTGGCCGTTTGTAAGGCTGGAGCTGCGAAAAGGGGTCTCCCCCTGTACAGGCATATCGCGGATTTAGCTGGGAACAAGAACCTAGTGTTGCCGGTGCCGGCTTTCAATGTGATCAACGGCGGGTCACATGCAGGGAATAAGTTGGCCATGCAGGTTGGAGCAAGGTCTTAATAATAATAAAACATAAGCGCATAAGTTTTTTACAAATACAAGTATCAAAATAGAGGTAGCGCCATCATATATCAGCGATATATTTAAAAATATCCACAAACTTTCAACTAATGTAAAGCAAATAAAGAATGCATTTGTCAATTGTTTAGGACTTAGAAAAGGTATGATATATAAAGTCAGTCTGAAATTTAAAGAGAAATGCACAATAAAAAGAGAAATAAAAAGAGAAATAAAGAGAAATGCACAATAAAAATAGAAGCAAAAAGTTGCTTTTTATTGTAGGGAGCTCTATCTGGGTGGCTGTTTCAGGAAGACACACTATATTTTTCTCTAAAACTTGATTTTTCCATAAAGGCATCAATCTTAACAATGCTTCTTTTTCGCACATAACCATAAGCCTAAGATAAGAAGTAAGAACTAAGAACACTGAACACTTTACTCCAGATCTCCTCTTCTTCTTCTTCTTATTCGAATAAGTAAGTCGCGCGGGATTTTTTAAATATTTGAAACGGGTTACTTACCTTATTAAAAATTAAAAATAAAAATATTGTTAAACAAAAGTTTTTAACAATATTTTTTCTAAAGCGATTCAGAAGGAAGTTATGGAACGTTCAATCTTAAGTGCGACACACTGTATATTATATTATATACAGGGTGTCCGGTAAGTACCTTCTAATCTCTCGGGAGTGTATAGGGGAGGTCAAAATAAAACTAGTCCTTCCTATATTTTTTTTTCCTAATGTGCCCCCTAACGGAGTTATGGGGGGTCAAAGGGGTACCTAGAAATTAACGTTTAGGGTTATAACTTTGAAACCACCCTGTATATTTTAATAAAATTTTCGTACGTTGTATTACACATGGAGCTCTACGATTTGATGCTAAAATCAACTTTTTGCTATTATCAGGTGTCCAGAAACGGACTGGCCCTATCACAATTTTTCTCAAAATTTTGACAGAAGTAATTTTATCAAACTGAAAATATTATTATTAGATACTCTGAAGGTTTTTCTTTAAAAATGGTACTCTTTATTTATTTCGAAAAAATGAACGGTTTGCGAGATAAATCGG